CTGCTGAACTTCACATGGCATTTTCATGGAGGTTACCTGCAGAGGATGAGAATCACATTTTCTGCACCAAATGGGCTTTGCTAGCATCTCCTTAATATGGGATCAAAGGCCAGGCAGCATCTGTGCAGCCGATTTGTGCCTCATATTGCTTCCCCTTGGCTCAGCTAAACCGGTGCTGCGCCAGCAGCATCAGGGCTACTCCCAACTATTTTCCCAAAGGCAAAAAGCTACCGCTGCCTCCGCTGCCTGTGACCTGCTGATGGAAAGAGCTGCTGGATAATCCATCCGCATGTGGATATACCCATTACAATCTGTCCTTGCTTTTCCTGTGCAGCGTATCGGGCCATCGCAGATGACGCCCCGTGCGCTGCTGCATCTGGGGCTTTTTTGTCCCCCGTGCACCTCTGACACTCCCCGCTCATCGCTCGCGGTGCTCCTTGGGGCTGTGCCATTAGTCCTGCCGCCTTTTAGCCTTAAACGCCTCAGGGGAAAAGAGGGGCCTGACTTGAGCTGAGGTGTGAATTTTGCCATGATAACGCAAAATTGTGCTGCCTGCCTACACCTGCAGCTGAGTGATATGCAAACCGCAGTCTTGTGATTTCACACAACCATAAAAGTTCCCTGGGCACCTGAATTTGTGTTGTGGTGGTTTTTTTCTTGCAACATCTTTGATGTTAAGTAAAATTTGTCACTATGTAAAAGACTATATAGGTATATTCTTAATTCAGCAATGTGGAAATTTTCTTTCTGGCTATTACTTACTGAATACATGATATCTGTACAGATGTTTGGAATTATTGGACATAAAACTTGAAATTACTTAGCAGTGTTTACTGAGTCCTTTCACCCTCCTGAGGACACATGTACCTGTCTGCAAGCAGGTATTCATGTCTCCATGCTAACCTCTACTCAGCACAGGTCCGGCACTTCTTCAGCTTTTCCTCTTCCCGAATCCCTTGGTGTTTTCACTCCTAGATAAGTAGAAATATGAAGATATTTGAACCATGATGGATATAATTTTACAGTGTTGTGTATCATTCTCAGGCATTTCTGATCGTTCCCTGGCGCAAAAGACGTTGTGTCCTGACTCCAAGACTTACCTGGGAGCGCACTATAACACGCACTCTCTCTTCGGCTGGTCACAGACAGCAGCAACCTTCCAGTAAGTTTTCAAAGTCTTTCTAAGCAGATTTCAGGTGATTGAAACACATTTTAAAAGCCACTGATGTTACCTGGAAAATCTGTAATAGTATCTAATACAAAATAGCCCAAACGTTTTACTGTTTGTAAGCCCAAACATTTTACTGTTAGTAAGAGGTTTCAAGAAGAGAGAATCAAGAAACAGAATCTTTTCCAATTTTACTTTTCTTAGCTAAAATCAGGATCCACTTGTAGGGCCTAACTCTTCAGCTGCTGCTTTTGTATAACTGGAGCAAGATGTTCCTTTCCTCTGTTAGAGCTGCTCACATGCGGCTGCTGCAGAAGCAGCCTTCAGTGGCACCGGGGGAATTTTTTCATCCCTTCGCTACCGCAGCCCAAGCCGAGGAGTTTCTGTCACTGCTGGTGAAGGATCTGAAATGTGCAGCTCCCCCGGCTGCTTCTGGAGCTGCCTCCGGTTCCTGGCAGGCAGCATTTTTGCATTTTGGCTTGGGGCTCGGTCGGGCCGGGCCGGCAGAGCTGCATTGCAGCACAGTTGCTGTTGGCTACTGTAAAACTCATTTTGCAGCTGGGAAGGACTCAAAACCAGCTTACGCAGGCAGACTGTTGCTGTGAAGCTGGAGTGACAGTGGAAAGCTAGCTGTTGGAATAAATCAAATGGGCAAATCATGCCTTTTCCAGCAGAGATTGAGCTAAAACACAGATAAGTTTAATACCACAATGTAAGCAGGAGTCCTTGTGCTGGCTTATTTCAGTATTCAGCACTCATTTTCAGCAGTTGCATTGTGACAGCATACAGAAGAATGCCTAAGGAGCCTACTTATGGTGTTGATGCACTTGTATTTTATACGCCAAGCCTGGGGGAAGGGAAGAACTAGGTAAAAAACAGCTCTTGTGGGCCTGGCTGAAGAAGCAGCCCAGCTTTTGAGAGAAGGAGCAGAAACCAGCAGAACCCTGAACCTCACTGGCCACCCAGCCCAGCTAGGACACATGGGATGTAGCATGGTTTTTGGGCCCCTACAGCCCAGTTTCAGCAAAGATCCCCCCATCACTGGTGTCTTCACTGGGATTTGTGCCCTGCATGCTGGGGTCCAGCAGAACACATAACCATATGCTGTCATAACCAACAGTGCTGTAACACTGCTCAAATAGAGGCTTTGGATTTGCCCACCTTCCTGAGCCAAATATTTTTAGTTTTATTCAGGCTCCATGCCAGAAAAGCCAATTGCCTGAGAAAAACCCTGTGAATTCAGCATGAAAAGCTCCATGTGCTGGCACACCTGCCCCAGCCCCTTTGGCACACATATTGTCCTGGCTGTGCTAACTCAAACCAACACCATTGGGACAGTTATAGTATCATAGAATCAATTGTTTACACTGGAAAAGACCTTTAAGATTATCAAGTACAGCCGTTAATCTAACACTGCCAAGTCCACCAATAAACCATATCCCTAAGCTTCATGTCTAAATGTCTTTTTCCAGGGATGGCGCCTCAACCCCTTCCCGGGGCAGCCTGTTCCAATGCTTGACAACCCTTTCAGTGAAGAAATTTTCCTAATATTCAATCTAAACCTCCCCTGGTGCAACTTGAGGCTGTTTCCTTTTGTCCTATCACTTGTTACTTGGGAGAAGAGACCAAGACCCATGTCACCACAACCTCCTCTCAGTTGCAGCTGTAGGGAGTCATAAGGTCTCTTTCCCCTGACCCTCCTTTTCTCCAGGCTAAACAACCCCAGTTCCTTCAGCTGCTTCTCATAAGACTTGTGCTCTAGACCCTTCACCAGTTTTGTTGCCCTTCTTTGGACAACCTCCAAGTATTTCTTTTAGTGAGGGGCCCAAAACTGAACACAGTATTCAAGGTGCGTCCAGTGCCGAGGACAGGGGGATAGTCACTTCCCTAGTCCTGCTGGCCACACTATTTCTGATACAAGCCAGGATGCTGTTGGCCTTCTTGGCCACCTGGGCATACTGCCAGCTGTTGACCAACACCCACAGGTCCTTTTCTGCTAGGCAGCTCTCCAGCCACTCTTCCCCAAGCTTGTAGCATTGCATGGGGTTGTTGTGATCCAAGTGCAGGACCCAGCAATTAGCCTTGTTGAACGTCATACAGTTGATCTCAACCGATCGATCCAGCCTGTCCAGATCCCTCTGTAGAGCCTTTCTACCCTCCGGCAGATCAACACTCCCGCCTAACTTGGTGTCATCTGCAAACTTACTGAGGGAGCACTCGATTCCTTCATCCAGATCATCAATAAAGATACTGAACAGAACTGGCCCCAGTACTGAGACCTGGGGAACACCTCTTATAACTGGCCACCACCTGGATTAACTCCAGTCACCACAACTCTTTGGGTCCAGCCATCCAGCCAGTTTTTTAGCCAGCGAAGAGTATGCCCATCCAAGCCATGAGCAGCCAGTTTCTCTGGGGGAATGCTGTGGGAAACGGTGTCTCTGTTGCACAGCTCTTTGCAGCTTCCCCCAAGGCTGTGAACCTTTCCCGTTCCTGCAGCACTTGCTTTCAGGTCTCCTTCCAAAGGAAACACATATTTTGCTTAGAAAGTCCTTCAAGGCTGGAGAACACCACCAAAAGCATAAGCCATAGGTAGGGATTTGCTGCAGAGCTGGGAAAGAATTTGGTAAAGAATTTTTCATACATACTCACTTGGGTTTCTCAAACACATTTCTTTTCAAGGCTGGTTGTATACCCTTTCTGCATTCACTCTTCACAAATAATATACTAAATTAAATTACTGACAGGAATATTTAGCCAGCATCAACTGCAGGATATTGGCTGAAAACAAATGACAAGTTCATAATCATATAAAAAACAATCCTAAGAATTATTCTAATGCAGCCAGAGAATAAGGAATATGTCATCTGACCCATGGCAAAGGGCTTGAATTTGGATACATGAACTAGCAGCAATTAACTTGTGCATAGCTCAATGCCAAGAGTTATTTGCAAATGATATTTTGTAAATAATTTCAATCAACAAATACATTTGACAACATTAGGACCTGTTCGGCAATGATTCACAATAGACTGAAATTTATTCAATAAATTACTTGTTGCAAATTGTTTATGCATTTTTGGGTCATAGCTGAGTTGATCTGATGTTGCCCTCATTAGCACCTGCATTTGCAAATGGAGCCAAAGACTTGTGCTGCACAGCCAGAGGAGAGGACTCCTAATCAGGACATCCATGAAATGGCTCCAAAATGCCATTTATACAAAGCACATGGAGTCTTGTGCAGTTGTTGGCCCAGCAGTGCACCTACAACCCAGAACCAACACGGCCTGCAAAGTTCAAGAACTGGTTCAAGAATTGCACCTCTTGCTGCATATGCCCATAAGAACTCAGAATCACAGAAATCACAGAAACACTAGG